AGGGGGTGGGTGTCTGCGCTAGGGAGGGCCCTGCAGCTGGGCTCTGGTGGGGAGGGGATGTGGATATCTGGGCTAGGGGGGAGCTACAGTTGGGCTCTGTGGGGGAGGAGTTGTGGGTGTCTGGCCCCCCTGGCTGGGCTCTAGAGGGGAGGGGACAGCAAACAGGAACTGGGTTGTCATAGGGGTTTCTTTAACTCTCTCCTCCTGGTGGAATTTGTGTGTGTGTCTGTATTGTTACAGACATACTTGCTGACAGGTATTTTGAAATAAATTACCAAAATAATTGAAAATGGCGTGATTATGTAGTGTTATTTTGACAAATAAAAGGTGCAGAATTTTTGCAGAACTTTAAAATATTGTGCACAGAATTTTTAATTTTTTGGCACAGAATTCCCCCAGGAGTAGTAGCTTAACTGTTGGGTATGTGAAATGGATTTCTAGAAAGTTCAGGCAACTCACTTCTGCCCTCTACATAGCCTTAAAAATCATTGGCGGTTTCCAGGCTGCTCCTCATACCATTACTAATTAAATGCCAAAGCTAATACAACTTCAAAGTCAGTAGAAAGCAGCATTTAAAAAAACACACCTATGTGTGTTATGTTAAGTAAAGAAAACAGAATCCAAGGTCACCATTTTCAGCTGAATAGTCACTGACGGCTTTGAGCAAAGCGGTTGCTCATCATGATCTTGATGAGCCTCTGAATTTGCAAAGCGTCAAAGCAATATGTTTTAAAACAGCTTCTCCCACTTCTAGAATTGCCAGCACAAAGATGGCTTCAGATACTGATTTTCCTCTAGCCTGAACTGTTACAACTGCCCCCTATGTCATTCTGCCAGATGGGGAGGATGAGTGGGGAAAACACATCATGTATTTATGAATTTTATGAAGGGTTTAAAAGGTTGGTTCAGTACTGGAATATTCTGAATCTTGGTGAGGGGGGAGTAAAATTCACCTCCACACTTGCGGTTCTGTGACAACTTTCATTGCAGTAATCTAAACACCTCCCCTGTCATGACTGTAAAGGAGTCGTTGCGAGGAAGAAAATTGTGTATCTGCATGCTCGCTTAGTGCCTTTCTGGAATTTAAATACTAATTGAAAAGACAAGGTCAGAGGGCAGCTGACACTTGACTTTGCTCTCTTTCGTCTGGCCATGGCTTTGATCATGCTACATCTTTCTTTGTGCCTGGTACTCCAGAGAGTAACCCAGGGTCATGGCCTGTTTGCTAGTCAAGAGGTATAAACCTACTGGCTTAAATATTTGAGGCCCATGGTTTAGCAGGGAGGGGGGCTTTTGCTTCATGCTTTCCACATTTCCCACATAACCCAAAGCAGACTAAACAAAACCAGTGTGAAATCTCATGGCTTGATGCTGCTATGGTTATATTTTTTAAGCTGTCATCCATTCATTTGTACTTGTGTTTATTCCCTGGATTTACAGCTTTTTTCAGCCTTTTTTTTTTTTTTTTTTTTTTTTTTTTTTTGGATGTTTGAAACCTTTTGAAAAGGGATTGCAGTAAGCAGTGGCCTATGATTAAAGCCAGTGTTTTTTTTCTCGATGCTGCTCTTGTGCAGCACTGTCACACATGGTAGCATTTAGGAGCCCTTCACAGCTGAGGTGTTTCAAACACTAATGAATGGAAGTTTGGTCATATAATGCAGACGAGCTCTAAGGCATGCTTTACTGAATGGTGTACTGTAGTGGCCTGGGAAAGGAAGAGAGTTATAAATTGTGTCAGTTAGCCACCCAGACAAAATGAAGCCATGTGGAAAATCAAATCTATTAAAGTATGAAGACTGTTATAAGCTGTTTTAAGCTGGTCATTCTTAAAAGGTCTCACTTTGCTGTAGGGGTAAATGTTTACCTATTCTTCCTAGATCTTTTTCACATGCTGTCTTAGGAGATGATGTGCAGCATTTGATAAAAATCAACTTCACACTAACAGCCCTTTTACCAGAAATGTTTATTGTCTGCAGTTTACCAACCATGTCTGGAAAGGTATTGCACATTTATTAAATAAGCAGTGTGAAGAGGCCCAAGAGCTGGGCCTGCTGAAGGAAAACGTCAAGGCCAGAGGGATGGGGAGAGGAGAGCAGCTGTTGTTAAGGGAGGGACCTGCAAGGATATATGTCAAATTTACTTTTTGTGGCTAACCCACCTTTCAGACACTGCATCTCACCACAGAGTTGTTTTTACATGTATTTTAGTGTTCAGACTCAGTGGTTCAACAGAACTTGGTTAAACTTCTAAACAACAGTTGAGAAACATCCACTCAAACAAATTCTCTTCTTAATCTTTGAAAGAAGTCAGGCTAAAGAAAAGAAATTCCACCTAGTGCTTCAGGGTTGAAGTTGCTGCCTTAAGCCAAGATATTTTCCTATTTTCCTTCATTTTGTTGTCTGAGGACATCAGAACTAAAAGAGCGTTCTGGTGTTAATGAAGATGCTGCTCTCCTCTTTGCTAGTTTAAACACATGAGTAAGGTTGCATCTAGTTAATGTACCTCTGGCATGAGAAATGTCGAGATCAAAGTCACTCCAGTGTCAAACCCAAAACAACAAGATAATTACTGTTGTACTCAAAGCCTCCTCCAATTCCTAGCTATTTATTTAGTCTCACCTCTGTTAAGTCAACATAAAAGCAGCATAGGTCCCAAAGTATTAAAAGTGGGCAGACTGAAAGACAACTGAAAATGAATTGATGTGGTCAGCCAGGTCAGTACCTTTTCCAAGAGGTTTCAGAGGAACAGCCGTGTTAGTCTGTATTCGCAAAAAGAAAAGGAGTACTTGTGGCACCTTAGAGACTAACCAATTTATTTGAGCATGAGCTTTCGTGAGCTGACCACTCTCCAAGTTTAAATCCAAGTTAAACCAGAACATCTGGGGGGGGGGGGGGGTAGGAAAAAACAAGAAGAAACAGGCTACCTTGCATAATGACTTAGCCACTCCTAGTCTCTATTTAAGCCTAAATTAATAGTATCCAATTTGCAAATGAACTCCAATTCAGCAGTTTCTCGCTGGAGTCTGGATTTGAAGTTTTTTTGTTTTAAGATAGCGACCTTCATGTCTGTGATTGCGTGACCAGAGAGATTGAAGTGTTCTCCAACTGGTTTATGAATGTTATAATTCTTGACATCTGATTTGTGTCCATTTATTCTTTTACGTAGAGACTGTCCAGTTTGACCAATGTACATGGTAGAGGGGCATTGCTGGCACATGATGGCATATATCACATTGGTGGATGTGCAGGTGAACGAGCCTCTGATAGTGTGGCTGATGTTATTAGGCCCTGTGATGGTGTCCCCTGAATAGATATGTGGGCACAATTGGCAACGGGCTTTGTTGCAAGGATAAGTTCCTGGGTTAGTGGTTCTGTTGTGTGGTATGTGGTTGTTGGTGAGTATTTGCTTCAGGTTGCGGGGCTGTCTGTAGGCAAGGACTGGCCTGTCTCCCAAGACTTGTGAGAGTGTTGGGTCATCCTTTAGGATAGGTTGTAGATCCTTAATAATGCGTTGGAGGGGTTTTAGTTGGGGGCTGAAGGTGACCGCTAGTGGCGTTCTGTTATTTTCTTTGTTAGGCCTGTCCTGTAGTAGGTAACTTCTGGGAACTCTTCTGGCTCTATCAATCTGTTTCTTTACTTCTGCAGGTGGGTATTGTAGTTGTAAGAAAGCTTGACAGAGATCTTGTAGGTGTTTGTCTCTGTCTGAGGGGTTGGAGCAAATGCGGTTGTATCGCAGAGCTTGGCTGTAGACGATGAGGTCCCCAAGTTCTTGGTTTCTTTCTGAACTCCATCTGGTGGTAAGAGGTCAGATCCACAGTCTGGTCAGGCATAGCTGGACATTGGAGGAGAATATTTCCTTCCAATTTACAAAATTACTGAAGATAGTTAAGTCCCAAGCAGACTGTGAAGAGCTACAAAAGGATCTCTCAAAACTGGGTGACTGGGCAACAAAATGACAGATGAAATTTAATGTTGATAAATGCAAAGTAATGCACATTGGAAAGCATAATCCCAACTATACATATAAAATGAAGGGGTCTAAATTAGCTGTTACCACTCAAGAAAGAGATCTTGGACTCATTGTGAATAGTTTTCTGAAAACATCCACTCAATGTGCAGCGGCAGTCAAAAAAGCAAACAGAATGCTGGGAATAATTAAGAAAGGGATAGATAATAAGACAGAAAATATCATGTTGCCTCTATATAAATCCCTGGTACGCCCACATCTTGAATACTGTGTGCAGATGTGGTTGCCCCATCTCAAAAAAGATATATTGGAATTGGAAAAGGTTCAGAAAAGGGCAACAAAAAATGATGAGGGGTATGGAACGGCTTCCATATGGGGAAAGATTAATAAGACTGGGACTTTTCAGCTTGGAAAAGAGATGGTTAAGGGGAGATATGATTGAGGTCTATAAAATCATGACCGGTGTAGAGAAAGTAGATAAGGAACTGTTGTTTACTATTTCTCATAACACAAGAACTAGGGGTCACCAAATGAAATTAATAGGCAGCAGGTTTAAAACAAACAAAAGGAAGTATTTCTTCACACAACACACAGTCAACCTGTGGAACTCCTTGCTAGAGGATGTTGTGAAAGCTAAGACCATAACAGGGTTCAAAAAAGAACTAGATAAATTCATGGAGGATAGGTTCATCAATGGCTATTAGCCAGGATGGGCAGGAATGGTGTGCCAGAAGCTGGGAATGAGAAACAGGGGATGGATCACTTGATGATTACCTTTTCTGTTCATTCCCTCTGGGGCACCTGGCACTGGCCACTGTCGCAAGACAGGATACTGGGCTAGATGGACCTTTGGTCTGACCCAGTAGGGCCTGTCTTATGTTCTGATTTACATGGGTATGGACGTATCATGGAGGAGGACTCTTGAAATAATGTAAAAGTTATAAAGAGTGTTCATTCACTCAGTGGCAACCATGTCTGCCTTTGTAACTGAAAGGCACAGACACAATGGTAATTATTTATTTTTTGTATTCCAGGAAGAGACTGAAGAAACTGAAGAGACGTCCTCACAAGAATCTGCAGAGGAAGAAGACTAAGAGACCACACCATTCGATTTCTACCTCATCAGCAGTTGGGTCTTTTGAAGGGAGAAGACGCTGCCTTGACCACTTATTTTCTATGCCATGGTCTTTCCACTTATGCCTTGGGGAGGGGGGGGAAATCACATAACCTTAAAAAAGACTATATTAATCACCTTCTTTGTAATCCCTTCACAGTCCCATGTTTAGTGAAAAACTGCTGTAACACAAAGGGGACACAGATTACCGATGCAACTTTTAATTATTGTTTTCTTTTTTCTTAACCTACTAATAGTTTGTTTGAGCTGCTAAGTAAGGGTGACTGGGTCAGGAAAGCTTTGAATAAGATTTAAGTCATTCACTGCACTGCATATAAACAAGAGACTTGTAACATAATTAAAACGGGCATTTAAATAGGAAAGGCTTGGTGTGTAACACCATTGGCCTTACAACACGTCCAAGAACCCACTCCCTAGCTTAGTAAACTCCCTGTTTAGAACACCAAAGATAAGGGATAGATACTACTCTTTTTTTTGTAACCTTCTTGTAGATTTGTACTTGATTTTTTTTTAAACTTACTGTTATTTCAGGAAGAATTGGGAGCTGATTTTTCACTTAATTCAGCCGATAATCAAAAGAAAGGAAAAATAGGTACTTTCATTTTGCAAAAGGGAAGAAAGACAAAGATACGTTGTATACTTTACAGATACAAACATATCAGCAGAAGTAGTAATAAACAAAACTCACAGCACTCATCTTCAGGAAACTAGAAATTCAGGTAGACTCAGCTTCCTGCAGAGCCAGACACGTTTTACAGAACTAGAGGTGACTAACACCAAAACACTCTCAAGCCATATAAAGACATAGGTTTATCAATTACAGTGGTTTTGGAGGAAAAAATCAGGAAAAGGTACCCCAGAACGAATCAGGAACTTACCTGAACCAAGAAAAAAATGGTTTGTGTGACCTCACCTAATTTCACCCCTCATGTATCAATATTTCAAAGGGAATGAATCTCTTCTCATTACTCACCAGTTTTGATGTAAGAATCAACACCATGTACCTCAAGTGAGCTTGTGTATTACTTTAAACAATATACGTTGACATAGGATGGTTCACTGGGCAGTTTTACTCCAGTGACATTTCTCCATCTTTTTCACTCAAAGCAGCACTTTTAGCAACAGATGCAATATTACCCCACTATTCAATACTACCTCTGATTTTTACAATTAACTCAACAGCCTGATAAATACATGCTGCTATACACATACAATGCAGGAAATTATTTTTGGGTAAATAATCATGAATATCTGTATTTTCTCCTTATTTTTTCTTCAACACTTAATGACGCAATATTTTCAATGTGTTTCAGCATGACTATGTATTTTTCTTTTTTTAATGTACTTATTCCTATTCTCTGCTAGATTTCTGTGTAATGTACTGTTAACTTGAATATATTTTTGTACTGAATTACTCATAGGTTTGTAAGGATAATTTTCAATGACACTACATGACATAGAAAAAATTAGTTGTAATGTTTAAATATTACTGTCCAAGTTTGTACCTCAAATGAATTGTTTAAAGAAATGGACTAATCGATTGACAAAGACCTACCTCCAGACTTTAAATGGAATGAACTTGTTACTTTCAGCAATAGTTTGAGATGTTTGAAACAGTTAGGACTGCAACTAATCCCTAATTCAAAACTATTTTTTGTAAAAGAACTTTGCTGGAAATGAACACATTTTAAATTACTTTCATATTAAAAACAAAAAACAAAAAAAAACCTTCAAAGAAACTTGAAGCTTTGTAGGTGGGAAGCAACAAGCTCAGCTTTTGCATAATGCAATCACAAATATGTGTGTTTTTTTAAAAACAAATTAGTAGATTGTAAGAAAATACTTGACAAGTATTTTCATGTATTTTACACAAATGTGATTTTTGTAATATGTTTCAAACCTGATTTATTTTAAATGCTTCTTATGTAGAGTTTTTTTATTCCTTTCTTTCTCTCGCTCTCTCTCTATCCTAGTCAGTATATCTGCTTTGTGACATTGTAATATTAACTGGGCCGGGGGTAGTTTCTCAGGAAGGCTTCTATCGGTATGGCTTTAGTACTGAGCCAAATGCACCTAAAGATAACTACTTACTGGATTCTTCAGTGATACAGTGATATCAGGAAACAAGGATCTCCTCAAAAGACTGCAGAGGGCTCATTCTCAGGGATTGCTGAGAAAGAGCTGATCAGAGTAGTAAAACTAGACATGTTAATGTTAACTAAACAAGGGATAATCATATCCATTCTGCAGCTCATTAAAGACTGCAGCCATTGCCCATTGAAGTCAATGGAAGGACTCCAGTTGACTTCAAAGGACGCTGGATCAGGTCCTAACAATTTCATGTTCAGCAAATGCATTTTGTTTTTTTTAAAAACACAGTGTTCAACAGATGAAACAGAAGTAGTTGATGCATGTGGATCTAGCTCCGAGGGACTTACAGCTCTGATGAAGTTCATCTTATATTGTCTATATATTGTAGTACAATCAAAATACATTACTACCTCTTAGGGCCTACTATACCTCATTTTTCAGACTGAAAACTGCTTGTGGCCATTGAAACAGTGAGAACATCATAAAATTTTTTATATATATAGTTTATTTTTATGGGAGATAAATTTTATAGGACTGTTCTTTGCTGTCATTGGTCACTAGTAAATAAAACTGGACATTAAACTTTTCTACCATTTCTTCAAGATAGGTATGTTTGCAGTTTCAAGATGTTTAACTGCAGTTTACTGTTTTCCTGTTCCTTTTTTGCTTTGTTCTTCATGTAGAGTTGCTGCCTATGATTGTACTTTGAATCGCTTGCTTGTTGAAAATGGTCCTTTAATGGATTATCACAGTCTGTTTGGCACAATAAACATAATAGCCTCTGTGATCCCCAAGTTGTTTGATTCTTAGACTTTTGTCACAGCTCCATGAAATGGGTAATAAAGTTTGGTCACACTGGGCCAAATTTGTAAAAGTTTGTATGCAAGTCATTTTTGTGTGAGAACCATGAATAATGTACAGATATCTTTGTGCTTGAGTTAAAGGGGAGTTGTTTTTAAAGACACAGGGTTAGTTTGGAAGATTGTGGTATATGCCCACACATGGTATATGCCCCAAATGTTTGCAAGTGTACCTCACTCTCTTACTGTGATTGTTCTAATCTTATTAGTCCATATATTTAGTTATGCATATTCTCTGTATTAGTTTATTTCCAAGCTACTTTTTTCAACATACCTAATCTATAACCATTATTTTTTTAGTGTTTTGTGGCATGTACTTTTTGAACTTGGTTATTTTGTAAGGCAAATAACCTAGAACATAATCCCAACACAAGTACTGAGAAGTAATATACGTAACTTCAGTTCTGAAGCAGAGATCTGAGCAATTTCATTCATTGCATTTTCTGTCCCCTTTTGCTCCAATCTTGTTCCTTGCTCAGCAGTGTTACAGGACCATTCCATTTCACATTTCAGTCTTCCCGGTGGTCTTCTTCCCTCTGATTGCCATCACTCAACTCTTCCTGTTATTTTATCGGATCTTATGCTCCAGCTGTAACCCACCCACCTAGTGGATCGGCCAGCTCACTGAACTTCTGTAACTGTGCTTAACTCCCCATATCTTCTTATTAGTCATTCCTCTAGATAACCTCACTCCCACTTGTCTTCTTGAGATATCTTCCAATAAATCTATCCATGATGCACTTCCCAATGGTACTGCTCATGTTTAAAACATGCACAAGTATTTGCAGGATCAAGACCCACGTTTCTGCTCTGTCCAGCACAACTGTAACAAAGGTTATGATAAGCTTTCACCTCTGTCACTAAACTCACATCAGTTCATTTTCTCACATCAGTTTTGGGGAGTTTTCTAAAGCTGTTGCTGCAGGAACTTGGCTAGTATTCCTTTTACAGTGGTTTCACTGCCCATGTATGCAACAGTGCCTAATGCATGGTTTCTTACACCTCCCTCTGAACATATGGTGCTGGCCGCTGTTGGAGACAGGATACCGGACTAGATGGACCATGGATCTGATCCAGTGTGGCAATTCCTGTGATCTGATGCCCAGAAGACAGGATGCAGCCTTGTCAGACGCCATTCTTTACCCGACACCATAATGAAGTATCATTTCCATCCTTCACACCTTTGCATTCTTTCACATTGTTTTTCTGTTAATTTCCCCCATCTCACTAGGGACACAGCTGCTCAGAATCTCCCATAGTCTTCCTTTCTCCATTTATTTTTAAAACCCAAGAAATATTAGTCTGGGTGCCATATTTTTCTTTGAATTGGAAACTATTGTGACCTGTAGCATTATCACTCTCATTATCATTATCACAACACACTTGTGTGTGTGTGTAAGAGAGAGAGCGAGAGAGAGAGAGGAAATACTTTGGCTGCCATACTTTAAAAACAAATTTATTTTTGTACATTTGCACTCCACTCTCCTTTTCATGTACTGGCATGATTCACACTTTTCTTCATTCCAGAGGGGCTCTCCCATTCTGCTATGTTCCCTACTACCACTCTATACAGAAGCTACTTCACCTTAGTCCTTGATTTCCCCATGTATAGTAATCGCTACAGTTGATTTATTGTGTCTTCCCTATGGACTGCCTGGTCCAGTCATATGTTGTACTAAACCATTACCCTTATGTTGCATTTGTTCTCCCTCTGTTTTCCATCATTACTACAGAGCTTTTCTGCCAATTAGCTTGCCAGTACCTTTCTTGCTAATTCACTGCAATGCAGTGAACAAGGTTTCAGAATCATTCCTTCCATCACCTCTTTTCCATTCTAATTACCTTTTCCCCACAACTGGGGATCTCTTTCCTACCTCCCTTTAGTATTTCCTTTGGTTCACCTGCTACAGACACTCATTCCTTCAATCTTTGTTTGCAGATGCTCCAATATTCAAAGTGAACAGTCTTGCGGTTAGTACAATCTGAAAATACATGAAGTAAATAATTATTAGCAATTAAGATACTAGACCAGTGGTATCTCTGATAAGGAAATCCGTTGACCATTTGTGTTCCAAATAATAGGACTGCATCAGCGCTAACAGTAAAGAGTTGCCTCCATAATCTATTCTAGTTATAGATATAGCAGACAATCTTACTGTTCTCATCTACTCAGTAGCAAAAGGGGAAATTACAAGATTAAACAATTAGAGGTATAGACCTAAATCTTCAAAAATGGGCCTGATAATGCAGGCATAATTAATGACAACAAAAAAGTCAGAGCTGTCATATAAAGTAATAGACTTACAGTCAGCAACAGTGAGGCAGCTCCTGGAGAGGATGAGAGCAGTGATCCTCATGTACTCTATATTAATGCTCACCAGGGAGTGAAAATAGTGTAAGTGAGGTATGAGTGGATCCCAAAACTGAGTAGAAACCCTAATTTTCACTAGAAGAGTACTCTGAAAGCAGAAGTCACAGCATTAAAAATATTACTTCCAAGTTGTGTGTGAGTGTCAGTAACAAGCTATTGGGTAGGACCACCAAAGACTATGATTTTAATCTGAGGGTTTTTTTTTTAATTCAGAAAATCCATTAAATGTATATAGTCCCGCGAGGCATTTTATTCTTAGTTCACAGAGTAGACAGAAAAATAAGCACAGTTTTATTACACTGGAGCACATTCACCCATAAAAAACATAGTTTTAGGACTATCACATAATAAAACAAATTCTAAAACTTAAATCAACATTTGAAAACAATCTGCAGCTCGGTGGGAGGGGCTGCTATGGGCTTGCCTGGACTGCAGAGGATCATCCTTAAAACTACCGTAAGTCTGTAAGATAAGGATTTTATGAGGCATGATTAACAGAATGTTCAAAAATGTATTTACAATGCATTGGACCGCAAAGGAGCTTGAAGCCAAGCAGTATCAGTCTCCTGTCCAAGACACAGTTAGGCCCGTATTGTTGCCAAAGTTCACAACCTATACATCTCGGGATTGTTCGGGTCCATCCACATCACACAACAAACAGGCAGGAACCCCAATGAAATGGCAGGGTCATTGGGCACATTGAGGTGCTGCCTGTTTTCTCCAAGGCACCTCATTTTGGCTCTGCCTTCCACAGGATGCACCACCAGAGTCTGTCTAGTTCGCTGCTCTCCTTCACCAATAGGGTGCGTTGCTTAGAGAACAGTGTCCAGCTTTTTCAACAAGATAAGCAAATCTGACGAGGCAAATCAAAAAACCATCGAAAGATCAGCTTGTGCCAGTGCAGCAGTTTCACGGGCCTTAATGTTCCAAATGACCCTGAGCTCCATCTGAGCTCCTGCCTGTTTGTTCTGCTACATCTTCTGAGACTCTGGCTCACCAAGCCCACAACTGTGCCTTGGGACAGCCTCCCTCCATCAGTCAATCAGCCTCATTCTGTTTTTCTCCGTCAGAGATCATCTCTTGGCAACCCAGCGTTATCACACCCAGTTACGCCATCCGTTGATGAGTTCCAGCTTCTCTCTCACTCTTCTACTGCCCTTATCAGCTGGTCTGTTTTCTCTGTTGGCCAGGGTACTCACAACCCCACCTCATTCCTCCTTCTGCACCAAGCTTCTTTAAAATAAAATAAAAAACAGCTGTAATTAAGAGAAAAAGGTCTGGCATTTGACAGCCCGCTCCCGCTCTGCTTATCAAGGTCAGGACAACACTGGCTCACTCTGGTCCCACAGACAATGTCACCTTAACTATTTATAATGAATCTGTAGAAACTTCACAACCATGCTTTACAAACAGCCACCAGACAAGGCAAAGCTAAGGTTCCCTGCTCCAAAAATGCGCTTATCAATGACTCCAGTAAAACCAGCCTCCGTACTGTTGGCAATGCAAAAACCTCCGGCTCCCACTGATAAGCAGTATCTTAAATTGATCATCTGAATTCAGATGAGCCACTGAAGTGGGGCTATAATCGCTCTACTTCCTTGGCACATAGTAAGCGCAAGCAGGTCTTAGCTGGGCCCCTGGACAACAAAGGCCCATGGAATGGAACTGAGGCTTTTGGAAGCCATAGTGAAAATCCCATCCTCAAAAATAATCCCAGCTGAATGTAACATCAATGAGGTTTTTTATAACTACGAACCATCACTGTGTGTGTTAGGGGATTATATGTGGTAGAATAAGTTAATGTGGCCTTAGAATTTAGCTGTTGCTGCTGTGGAAGTTGTAGGTTGTTGCTGCGCAATTTGGTTCCATTGTGCCATGGCGACACAGGCCCCTGATTGCAGTGCCTTCCCGTCCGTATGTGATGTCACCCACAGCTTTCCAGAGATCTCGCTACATGCTCTGCCTTTATTTTTCACATTTTCCTTAGGATTCTGATGACTTCTCCATCACATCTCAGAATAGTCAGGTTTTGGTTACAGCTATCAACATACTCTAGTCCAAGTCCAAAGAAATAGTGACGCAACAATGGCACCTCACTAATTCTGGGCAAAGAGCTAGTCAGCCCATGTTAAATTTCAGAAGCTTTTTTTATCCCAAACCCAATCACACTCATCTAATGGGAGGTTAAATCATTCAAAGGTGCTCTACTGCATCATCGTTCAAAGGCATCTCTAAAAGAACAAAAAGTAATTTTGCCACAGCTGGTGATTAAACTACTAAGGCTCAAATTGTGCCCTCAGATATACATACACAAGTCCCTTTGACTGAGAATTGGATGGTCTTATTTGAGTGCAGAACTTGGGTTATCTACATGGGCGAGGGGGAGATTTAAACCGGATTCAGCTGAGGTAATCTAGTTTGAAAATACTTGCATACACACACCACAATTCATTATCACACACTAACTATCGTGAGCTCTGGAGCCTCTTTAGATGTGAACTGACTTTGCTGTGAATTGAGTTAGTGCAGTGCATTGTTTGTGTCCACGTAATGCTACTACTGCACACTGCGTTAGCAGGCCTCCAGTGGCTACCCCACACTGCGTGTGAGTGAGCTGCCCTGT